TCTCTCTCTCTCTCTCTCTCTCTCTCTCTCTGTGTGTGTAACATTTTAAATTTTTGGATAAGGAATTCACTTAAGGCAGCAATTGACTATTGAGGTGTGTGATAATTAATTCTTACAAACATAAGCTTCAATGTTATAGCTTTGTGTTTTAGTTACGTGGGAAAGTTAACTCCCACCACAAGCTTGCCACCTTTGAACTTCCTCCAATTTTCCAACCAGAAAAATAACCCTTTGTTATTGTATGAGGTTTGCTTTTATTTTATTTTTGTATTTTTACATTTCATTGCTGCTAGTTGGGAAAATGACATGATGGCAGGGTTTGCAGTGGGTTTGTAGCTATTACTTTGCCTTGTTTTAGGAAATTTTGGATCAATAAAGTACTCATTTTATGTTCTGAATGTATGGTATGAATGAATCTTATTCCTTGCATTTAATGTCTCAGTTCTTTGTTTATTCATCAATCCTTCCATTTGGTTTCTCTTTCAGGATATACTGTGATGCCGGGTCTGAGGATTCATGGATATGCCCTGGCTGTTTCGTTTTGTTTTATCACCTTCATAGCTGCTTCACAGAGAACAGATCCTTCTGAAGGTGAATTTGTTTGATGCCTTCAAATTTTTGAATCTTTCTGTTTCACTTTGTTCTTTCTGGCCGGTGATTTTGGGCACTGTACAAGAAAGCTCAGATTAAAATTTCAGTCCAAGTTGGAAAATTTCACTATGTTATCCCCCTTTTTTTTTCTTCCTTCTGATAGAAATGGATTGATATTTTTTATAATGATTAGCTTAGAGAGGAAGTGTTCTAAGTGTGTTCCATTTCATTTTCCTATGTCTGATGCTTCCTTGTTATTTGATTGGCATTTAAAATTTTTAACCTTAATAATTGACCTAAAATTTTTCATTTTTGTAGTTAATGCGCTGATAGACATCAAAAAAAGTTTGATTGATCCTATGAACAACCTCAGGAATTGGAATAAAGGTGATCCATGTGCAAGAAACTGGACTGGGGTTTGGTGTTTTGATGATAAGGGAGCTGATGGCTACTTCCATGTTCGTGAGATGTATGGCTTCTTTTTCCTCCTACTTAATTTTATTATTTGGATATTATGAAGTATTAATATTCGTAGAAAGTTAATAATCAAGGGATTGCTAAATTTTGATTATTTTCTGTTGTCCCAATTTTACTGAAGCTACTTAATGACAATGAATCTCTCGGGAATTCTATCACCTCAGCTTGGTCAGCTATCCCAGCTCGAGATACTGTGAGTTGTGTCATTTTATAATTGGAAACAAAATATGTATCAGAAGAACCAATGGTGATGTTTATGACATACTAATATCTTCATTGTTTTATGCTTGAAGGGATTTCATGTGGAACAATCTGACAGGCACAATACCAAAGGAGATTGGAAATATTAAATCATTGACACTCTTGTAAGAACTTTACCAATGAAGATGAATTATTAGTGTTGATACTCATTAAGTTTTATTTTATGGTGGTATTGTCAGTCTTGATTGATATTGTCTATTTGTTTTAGAATGCGAATCTTATTACTCATCATCCATGTATTGGAAGTTAAATTTGGACTACTGCTTAGCCTTATTTGTTATAACTTTTAAATGCAAAATAAACATATTGTGTCTTTGTAACTTAAGTTTGAAGTTCAGTTGAGGAGTCTAATTACTTGAATATACGAAAGATTTCTGGGAAAATTAAAGCTACTATTTGGGGGAAATTTCTGATGATGTTCAGGTTTATGTATTTTAGCGTTCATAATTGAATAGAATTGAACGCATTATTCTGCAACCTATGAAATTTTACGATGCAATCAGGCAACAGATCAAATACTGTTTCCAACATATATATGAAATTTTATGATTTTTCTGATGTATTTTCTATGCAGGCTTCTGAATGGGAATAAGTTATCTGGTAGTTTACCATACGAGCTTGGCAACCTTTCAAATATGAATAGATTCCAGGTAGATGAAAACCAATTGTCAGGTCCTATACCAGAGTCATTTTCCAACTTGATCAATGTTAGACACCTGTAAGTGGATATTGTAGCCGAATACACTTGCTTGGAGATGGATTTATTACGTGTACTTAATCTTTTTCACTTTGTATATTTTTAGTCACATGAACAACAACTCATTTAGTGGTCAACTTCCATCCACACTTTCAAAGCTATCAAATCTTATGCACTTGTGAGTATTTAAGTCATCTTTTTACATTTCTACAGCGGTTCAAAACTTCCACTGCATCCTGGATGCATTTCTGAATTGACCCTTTTTACAAGTTTTTAGTGTCTGATTGTTGAAATGACTTTACAGGCTTGTGGACAACAATAACTTATCTGGATACCTTCCTCCAGAATACTCCAGGTTACGTGGCTTGGCAATACTGTACGTTCTGCTTCTACACCTTTTAATTTTGCTGTATTTATGAACTTCATTTTATAATTTATATGCTCTCATGTGTACTTTACCTCGCCAGAAATAGGGTTTTAGATAGTCTTTGATTTTCATATTTTCCCTTGTTTCCCTTGCAGCCAGCTTGATAACAACAATTTCAGTGGGAGTGAAATTCCTTCTACCTATGTAAACTTAACCAGGCTAGTGAAATTGTAAGTATTCTTAGCAATAGCTAATTCTCCTTTCGTTTGTTTTTCATTTATTGTAGGATGTTACAGATATTAAATTATGATAATTTATGAGCTAATGTTTCCTCTTTGATTTAACAGAAGTCTACGAAACTGCAGTCTGCAAGGAGCTATTCCTGATTTCAGTTCAATACCCCAGCTTACCTATTTGTAAGAGTATATCTAGTGGTTTTGCTTTATATTGTGTCTGATGAGTAATGATAGTAAAATCATTTTTTCCCGTTTTGGCTACCAACTCATATTTGATTGGTTCATGTTTTTTAGAGATCTTAGCTGGAATCAGTTCACCGGACCCATACCATCAAAGAAACTGGCAGACAATATGACAACTATGTATGTAAAGAAACAAACTTTTTTTTTTTATGTATTTTGTATTCATAATGTTTTTGGTTTCCTTATCTATTTCACAATATTTATTTATCC